TTTTTTTATCGTGAAACAATTAATATCTCGGGAAAAATTAGGAATTTTAAAATAATTTTTTTTTAAACTTTCTAGGTTTTACTATTCTACACTGTGTTACAATTTTGATAAATTTAACTTCCTCGCTTATTTGATAAAACACTATCAATTTTCGATTTTCAAATGGCTATATCTATTTTCGATAAAGAAAATTTATAAACGTACTGGAAAATAAAATTTCAACGTTTATAGAATTTAATTTCAACATTCCGTTTGCGACTTATTACCGTTTTAATATTCGTTCAATTTACTGCTACTGGGCAATTTATTAAACCCAACAGTAAAAACTAGAAGTCAAAACGGAATGATATCCTCATTTAACAATACCCATAACAGTCATAATAGATAATTACTCTTAAATACCTAACAAGAAAGATAAACAATACTGTTGGAAAAAGAAATGTCCTATCAACACTTCCACCAGAATTGGTGACCGATTAATCTGCAGCAGCCCTGCTGAATCAGCTATTAAGTATAAAAATAACATATTGAAATTTACCATCATAATTACATAATATATTACTGGTTACCGATTTCTGGTATACGGTCTCATCACGTAATATCTTAGTACAGGGGTCTCCAACCTACGGCCCGCGGGCCGAATCCGGCCCGCCAAGGTTTTTACACCGGCCCGCCTAGCTAATTAATGTTTTAAAAATAATATATAAAAAAAACATTAATATTAATATTAATTTTCATTAGTTTAATTTATTTTTTATTGAATTAATTAATAAAATAAAATAAATTTATTATTTTTTTTCTTTTGGTATTATTCATAACAATTTATGTTTGTAAATATATACTAACAAGAATAATAGAAAAACTCGTCAATCACACTTATCTGCCTAATATTGTACTCAAAACTTACGCGATTGTCAGATAAGATATGATCGACTTTTTCCGTTGTAATAATAATGCTATCGAACGTGTGATCGACGGGTTTTTCTAACTGCGTGAGTCTACTGTAGTATATTGGGTATAATTTATAAATTATGTAGAATCAGTTTTTATGATTATTGTAGTTAAGTGTCATTTATTATCGAGTGTAGTGCTCTGTGCTGTATTAAAATAAATATGAGTTTAAGTAAAAAACGGAAAGTCGATACAGAGTGCCGTGTTTTTAACAAAAAGTGGAATAATGACTATTTCTTCATTGAACAAAATAATGTTGCTTTATGCGTTATTTGCAATGAAAATGTTGCTGTTTTGAAACAATATAATATTGGTAGACATTATAAAAGCAAGCACGCATCTACATATAACGACCTATCTGGTTAACTACGATCGGACAAATTTGAAACCTTAAAACAGAATTTACTAGCTCAACAGTCAATTTTTATTAAACGGTCATGTCAAAATGAATCTCTCGTAAAAGCAAGTTTTCAAGTAGCCCGTACTCTGGCGATAGCCGGAAAACCGTTTACTGATGGCCAAATTGTAAAGGAGTGCATTTTGAAAACAGTTGAAGAGATTTGTCCCGATAAAATCAATTTATTCACCGGTATTAGCTTGTCAGCGAATACAATTGCGCGACGTACCACAGATCTCGGAAATTATATTATTCGTCAATTAAAAGATATTGCTAAAAGCTTTAAATATTTTTCAATTGCTTTGGATGAATCTACCGACACTTCAGACTCAGCGCAGGTGCTTTTATTCGTTCGCGAAGTCAATGAATCTTTTGAAATAACCGAAGAATTGGCCGCCGTCCACTCAATGAAAGACTCATGTACTGGTAATGAAATTTTTTTGAAGGTAAAAGAATCTATTTTTACTTTGGGTCTTGAATTTAGCATTTTAAAAGGCGTAACTACTGATGGTGAACGCAACATGTGTGGAGCACATACAGGTTTGGTTGGAAATATTTGTAAAGCTGTATTGGAGACTGGTGCAGCAGCACCAATGGCTATTCACTGCATAATACACCAGCAAGCTTTGTGTGGGAAAAATGCACCAATATATGAAGTTATGAATATTGTTGTGCAGAATGTAAATTATATTCGAAAAAATGCTCTCAGTCACCGTCAGTTGAAGAACTTTCTTGCTGAAATTGAAAGCGAGTACCCAGTATTCCCTATCATTGCGAAGTTCGTTGGCTCAGCCGAGGTCACGTCTTGAAAACATTTTTTTATCTTCGTTCAGAAATCGACACATTTATGACAGAAAAAAACCGTGTTATAACTGAGTTAACTGATTTAACATGGCTATGGAAATTAGCTTTTCATGTCGATATAACTCAGCTCCTTAATGAGTTTAAAGTTGCATTTAAAGTTGCAAGGAGCTAACTCGTTGATTTCAGATACATATTCCTACATTAGAGCTTTCAAATTAAAACTAAATCTATTCACAAATCAATTAATAGAAAAAAATCTTGCCCATTTTCCAACATGCAACAAATTCAAACTTGAAAATTATAAAGAATTCCCTACCGTTTTTGCTGTTGGAGTTCTCACCTATTTAAAAGAGCAGTTCCAGACCCGATTTAGAGATTTCAAAAGTGCAGAAGACCGTATTCGAATTTTTGAAAATCCATTTGCATTAAAAATAGAAACTTTACCGACAGAGTTTCAGCTTGAAGTTATCGAGCTCATATCAAACAACAATTTCAAAGACTATTTCAAGGAAGCTAGTCTCCAACAATTTTACGCCATGTTGCCAGATGAATCATTTCCAAATCTCAAAAAACATGCGCGTGAAATTATATCAATATTTAGCTCAACATACTTATGTGAGCAGACATTTTCAAAAATGAAATATGTCAAATCTAAGTACAGAACTAACTTAAGTGACGAACATTTACAAGCGACGCTGCTAATTGGAACCAAAAAGTTTGATGCAAACTTTCAAGACATTTTAAAAGACAAGCAATTCCAAACGTCTCACTAAATAACTTACTCTTATCATAATAAAACGAAATTTTGAATTATAAAATAAAAAAATTATATAAATAAACATACATTTTTTAAATAAATCTTATTTATTATTATTTATTGCTCAATTTTATAACCTATCTATTTTTCTAAAAATGTTGGCCCGCGATGCCAAAGCGTATATCAAATTTGGCCCGCGGTAAAAAAAGGTTGGAGACCCCTGGTATAAATAATTATCGTAACTATATCTTGGTTCTGGCTCAGATTTTAATTTAACTGGTATTTCTAATGTCCTACCGTATACTAATGCATATGGTTGAAAATCAGTAGATGAATGTTCAGTCGAATTATATACAAGAAATGCATATGGTAATAAATGATCCCAATTGCTTAGATTTTTATCTACATAATGTCGTAAATATTCAGCTAAAATTCGATGTGATCCTTCTAAACTTCCATTCGTTTGGAGATGAAAAGGACTCGTATTACTTTATTGATTTTTACCAATTTACATATCTCACTAAAAGTTTTACTTAGAAACTACCTACGGTACCTACGGTACTACGGTACCTTGATCTGTTAATATTGTTTCAGGTATTCCGTGTATACAAACGAAATGTACTACAAAAGCCTCTGCCACAGTATTAGCTTGATGATCTGGTATAGGTACTTCTAACGAATATTTAGTTAAATCGTCCTACATCGTTAAAATATATGTATTACCCGGTAAGGTAGTTGTTAATAGTCCTACAATATTTAAAAATATTTTCTCAAATGGTTTCGAACTAGTTGATGTAATAGCCATGGGTTGTTGTATCTTTTTATTATTAATCTTATTCTTCTGACATGATGTATAATTTTTTATATACGTTTTTATATCTGCTTTCATACATCTCCGTTTAAATTGTTTCTGTATATTTTTAATAGTCTTATTTATTCCTAAATGTCCTCCCAGTCTTAAATCATGAAATTTTTTTAAAATGTCTAACTTCTCTTCCTCAGTATATTCTACCTCTGTACATATTAGTATTTCTATATCAGTTTTCCGAAATATATATCGTATTATTGACCTAATTTTTTCCCATTCTAGGTTATCCCGACTGACCTAGTTTATTCATTGCTAAATTACTGATATTATTTTCCTCGCAAAATTGTTTCAAGTTCATTAATGTTACATAAATATTTTCATACGTTGTTAATTGTTAACTGTTTATTTTTAGTTATTAAAAACATTACATATCGGTTATCTATTTTATAAGATTTTATATCAACTATTATTTTACTCGGCGTTAAAATTTGATTATTTCCAAATCTCTGTTTTAATATTTTATTTATTCCTTCCATAAAATTATATTGTTTAGCGATTCCTGATACTAAATGATAATCAACAGGTACGTTTAATAAATTTCCTATCGTTTCTTTAACATTTTTATTCGAGATTAATTGTGTTTCCATTTTTCAAAAAAACTAGAATAATTATCATTTATTATCTTAGTTGTATTATACATTTTGCTCAATGCGTCTACGTTTGAATTTTGCAATCCCTGTTTATATTTAATCTCATAATCGTATTCCTCTAACTGTATAAGCCATCGGGCCAATTTTGATAGTGGATTTTTTTAAATTAAATGACCACGTCAATGGTCTATGATTGTAGGTGTGAAGGTGAATAAGAATTGTAAACTATTTATTAAATAATAACTAACAGTCTTTTATTTAATATAAATAGTTAATTTTAATAATAATAAAAATTACGCGATAGACCGCCGTTAATTTTCTCGCCAAAGTCGTACGCGAGCTGATCCGTCCACCGAGCCAACGGCCCACCGCCGCCGACGACGGCCAACCGGTTCGGTCGTGTCCTCGCGGACGTCGCTAAGGACGCCGTGGTCGTTGTGATAACGTCCACGACATGATCACTTAATATTATAAACTTTCTTCCATATAAATATGGTCTAAATTGTTTTACACCGAAAACAATGGCTAAGCATTTTAATTCTGTTGTACTGTAATTATTTTCACTTTTATTCAAAGTTCGTTAAATCTTTTCCTATCTCTTCTTACGATAATATAGCCCCTAATGCTTTATTATTTGCGTCAATTGTTAAAATAAATGGTTTCGTAAAACATGGATATTTCAATATTGGTTCAGAACATAATGCTTGTTTTAATGAATGAAAAGCTTTTTGACATTCTTCCGACCATTCGAATTTAACGTATTTTTTCAAAAGATTTGTAATTGGTTTTGCCTTAGCACTATATGATTCGATAAATTTCCTATAATAACTTGATGATCCTAAAAATGATTTTATTTCTTTTACATTAGTTGGTTTTGGAAAATTTAAAACTGCTTTTACTTTCTTTTCGTCTGGTTTTATTCCATGTTCAGATATAACATGTCCTAAATATACACATTCGCGTGTTAAAAATTCACATTTATCCGGTTGTATTTTTAAGTTATGTTCTTTTAATCTCTCGAATACGTCTTTTAATTTATTATTATGATCACTTAAATTTTTCCCATTTACAATTATATCACCTTAATATACTAAACATTTTATTCCTATTACTTATGCCTTTTAATACATTGTTCATTAACCTTTGGAAAGTTGCGGGTGAAGTTCTCATTCCCATTGCTATACGTTTAAAGTGTCAATGACCTCGATTAGTTGAAAAGGTCGTTAATTCGCGTGATGATTGTTCTTATGGTATTTGATGAAATCCCGATGCTAAATCGAAAACACAGAATAATTAATATTGTCCTAGTTGATCTAATATTTCAGTTATGTTCGGAAGTGGATGAAACTCATTTAATTTTACTTCGTTTAATGCTCTAAAATCTACAACAATTCTGAATTCCTGTTTCCCACTAGCATCTGGTTTTTTCGCTACTAATAATAATGGTGCATTCCAAGGACTCGGGGATTGTTCTATAATATCATCATCTTCCATTTTACGAATTTGTGAAGCTATTTCCTCTTGTTGTGAATGAGGTAATCTATATGGTCGTTTATATATAGGCGGTTGGTTATCTTTTAATTATATTTCGTGTTTAGCGGCGTTAGTAAATGTTAATTTATCTCCCTTAATTATTATTATTATTATTTATTATTTAAATTTAATTAATCAGTTATGAGACTTTAACTTTTATACATTTATTTTAATATTCAAAGTGTTTAACAAATTTTAAAATAGAGTGACGTGAAGTTGCTTGCAGTTCCGTGACTAGAACTCATCTGCATTGTGGTCATTTCGGTCTCTATTATATATTGCTTGATTGACGTCATTTAACTTGTTATTTTGTAATTTTCAGGAAATGTAGATCTTTGCACTTGCTATTGTGTTCCTTTGTCCTTGTAATACCCACATTTGTAGTTCATAGTATTCCTGATTTGATTTCTTATTATATAGACCAATATATAATTATAATAAAAGGATATGACATTACATTGTCTTTATAGTGTATTTTAGTTTTGTTTTAAATTTAAATATATAATTACATGATCATACATATCCTGTATTAAAATATATCAATTATTAAAAGATATATAGGGTTTTGAAATCTGGTGTTTGTTATAATCATCCCATTTTCTCTGCAAAACTCCACTACTCTTTCTCCTCTTGCATTTCTCTTACCTAAACCGAAGTCTCCGGCTTCTCTACCTTCCCTGCCTTCACCAACTATAGCATTTAAGTCTCCCATGATGATTACGTTATCGTGTGGTTTAGTATGTTTCATTAGCTCTTCAATGTCTGCATACACTTCTTACACTTCTTCATCATCTGCTTTTGACGTTGGCATATAAACTTGTATAATTGCAAGGTTGTTTAGTGTTGACTCTATTTTGACCAAACATAGTCCGCTACTATTGGTCACAAAATTCGTAACTCTTTTACCCCACTTCCTATTGAGAGCAATTCCAACACCGGCTTGTCCTTTTGTACTATTTGTATGAATAACTCTGATGTTGTCAGACCATAAGTCACCATTATCTGCCCAACGTATTTCGCACAATCCTAATATGTCTATATCTAGGCTTTTCATTTCTATTTTTATATTATACAGATTTCCTGTTTTTAACATTGTTCGTACATTCCACGTTCCTATTCTTTTCGTTTTGTTCTTCTCACATGCATCCTGCAGGGTAGCTCCCACCCGGATATCTGAATGGGGAGCTATTTTACGTCCGGACAAATTTTTTACACTGCGAAAATTCATTTTAGAAGACTAAATAGTAGTTGCCTCACTAGGGATGTTAATGTGGTAGTTTCCCTTTGCTTTCCACATCGCAGTAGCATCCATTATTACTAAAGGATGCTACTCAAGCATAAATTTATTTATTCTTGATACTAGAAGAGTTGCTACCCTCTTCTAGGTCCATTTTGGTCGCCTCTTATGACGGGCATGGACTGCCGAGGGTGAATTCTAACCCCCCCCCCCAGGGAAATGAATACATATGTATTTATTTAATATAATTTATACTTCTATATTAGATTGATGAGTTATAACTAGTAAATTACAAAACAAATATTTTTTTTTTAAACAATATGGTGTATCTTAATTACTATAGTAAATGATTATATTAATCAGATAACATTTTTTTATTTTAAAACAAAGTAAACCATCAATTCCTATGTATTTAGAATAATAATTCATAAATATACAGATATAAATGTATATGACATAATATATACTTGGATTCAGGGTATAGAGCATATAAGAATAAAAATAACTCTAATCTTGGCAAGAATATAGACAATTATCTAGATAAGTAAAAATTTTGCTTAGATAAGTAATTAGGTAACTTAGCGTTATTTATCTAAATAAGATAAAAGATGACAAAAAATCTATCTAGATAAGTCCCAACACTGCTTCTCCGACAAACAAGCCGAACCATTACGTGTTAAGATTGAACCTGTCGGACGTCGGTTTCAATGAAACGGTGATAGTCGTCGAAATTACTAAAAATAGAGTTTCCATCGAAATAACTGTTTATAGGTTTTATATTTTGTAGTTTAAATATACAATAATAAATATAGAAAATGCTATAACATATTTAAAAAAAAATAAAAATATTTCTATACATTTTTAAATAGTAATTATTTACAAGAAGTAGCTGTTATTTTTTGTTCTTAATATATTATATACATAATGAAATAATACACATAATTACTAATTTATATTAATGTAATACGTCTATTCATTTTTGAAAACCTGTCAACAATGCCCTGAATATCAATCAAATTACTAATATCTCTTTTTATACTTAAAATAGATAAATAATTAAATCTTTCTTCTTCCATACTATTTCTCAGCCATTTTTCAATACGGCTCATCGAGGAAAACGAGCGTTCGCACGTTGCCGAACCAGTAAAATGTTACAAACAAATTGACGTTTCTGAAACAGTTAAACAATTGGTTTCAACTAAACTTTTTTTTAATGAAATATCATTCCGATGAAGGGTTTGAAATTACATTGAAGTCTGCTAAACTACTAGCAAACGCTGTTGGGATTGAAAATTAATTTCCATTAATAGGTCAAAGTAGAATTAGACTTACAAATACACAGTTTAATTATGAGTCTCGTGATGATGCCATAATAGATTCTAAACAAAGATGGAAAGTAAACATTTACAATGCAATTTTAGATAGAGCTGTATAATCAATTAACGCAAGACTTTTACAACTTTCTGAGCATGCAACCTTATTTTCATTTTTTTATGACATTTCCAAAATAAAAAATAGCGATGAACTTATGACTCATTGTAAAAATCTTCAACTAGCAATTGGATCACATGACAACTTAAAATCTGACATTAATGCATTAGAATTATTTGATGAAATTACAGCTCTGCAAAGACGGTTCAATGATCAGAAACTAATCCTCGAATGGTTTTGGAATATATTTGGGAAAATCAATTGGTTGAATTTTTTTCTAACACTTATATATCGTTAAGAATCCTTTTAACACTTCCTGTGACGGCTGCCGCGGGGGAAAGAAGTTTCTCAAAATTAAAAATTCTTAAAAATTATTTACGATCCCAAATGTCACAGGATCGCTTAGTGGGTCTTGCAATGATTTCAATCGAGAAAGAATTAGCCTATAATATGGACATGGAAAAAGTTGTATCTGATTTCACTAACGCAAAAGCAAGAAAAGTCAAGTTATAATACGATGTTAACATTTATATTATGTTTTTATTAACTATTATATTATAATACAACTATTTTTAAATTATTTTGTTTTATTTAAATTAGTAAAGATTTACTTATCAATAAATATAATAATCCAATAAATTGTTAACTTTAAATAAATAAATATAATGAAATCGGAATCAAGTATATTTTAGTAATTTTTATGTCAACAAATATTTGATATAGTATTTACATGTATAAGGGGCGGCAAAACTGAAGTTTGCCTATTTGTGTAAAATCATTTGAAGTGTTGGGAAAGATATCCAATATTTTTATCTAGATTAAATATAAAGATAATGACTAAAGCTTTATCTAAGACTAGCTGAATTACCCGTCGTT